CTTTGTCTGATCACTTCACCCCGTCAATGATCCTCTGTCACAGCTCATTTGCAAGTGATGATACTGGGACCGTGTACAGATCAGGCCTGGGCCCAACGCCACGGACATTTTTTTCCCCCCACACAGCATGACCATCATATTTGTTTTGACTGCTGACTATTCACCATCCAAGCTTCCTTTTTTCTGACGAAGCAATGTGAATCCAAATGAGCCAAACAAATAACGATGCAAGTATTAAAATAAACTGTGGGATTGTGACACGGAACCAGGTTAGCTGAGGTTGACCACATCAGAGAATGATTGTTGAATTAATTAGTCCGTCCAATAATCGTTTAAACCAAGACCAAAAATATAAATAGTTTCCTAATTATAGCATCTCAAATTTTCAATTCAGCATGATGGTACATTAAATATCTTGATCTGGAAAATAAAGTACATTTTAGTAGGCTGTCTTGGGTTCTGGGACTTTGTGTTTGGCATTTTATTTTATCTAAAGAATGAATTAAAAAAAAAGACTGATAATCTGAGTATGAATGGTTGTTTGTCTTTATACACTTGTGACTGTTCCAGGGTGTACACCACCTCTTGTCCAATGTCAGCTAGGATTGGTTCAATTCCCCTGTCACGTCCCTCATAGGATATGCAGTATAGATAATGCATGGGTTGGAAAATGACTGATATCAGCTAAGAACTAACAGGTTATTAACAAATTTGCTCTTTCTCACTGAGTTTAAGAAACAAGGCAAATCTGTATGTACTGACAATAAAACAGTGTCTCCTCCCCCTCATGGTCTGAAAAATCCTGTTTCTATTTAAGTGTAATATGTGTAAATTTATGTATGAGCCTGACTGTTTGCACACGTGTGCATATTAACACGGATTTGTTTTGTCTTGCGGCAGTGACCAGAAAGGCAATACGTTCGCGGTGAAGGTCAAAGATGTGGCGTGAGCTGAATTACACTCTGACTCAGTTCCCACACTTCAGCAGAGAAGAAGGGGGTGATTTCCATAAGCCTTGGCCTCTGCTCCAAAGCCATACATCAAGCCATTCATCAAAAAAAAAAAAAAAATAGGATCATTGCAAAGTGCGGCAGCGTCCTCTAGGTGCACCGCAGCCTGCACCTGAGAGAGTTTGTGCAAAGGCACCATGAGAGTGAGAGCAGCAGATTGTTTAATCAAAATAAATGCCAGCATCAGTCAAGTTGATGGGCTGTTTGGAACAGTGTACAGTACAGCGAGGGTAAGTGATGATCGCACTTGCAGATGCATCAAGGTGAAGACCTGGTGACAGAGAGGGGAGAGCAGCAGGCCGAATTCTGGAGCGTCATCATTTTGTAGATTTGAATCGTCATTGACTGAACTGACTAAAAAGGACGTTTTTTTGATAAACTGTATAAAAAAACTTTAAAAAACAAAAAAACAGTTCCCAGCCAAAAGAGAACATAAAGAGCCGCCCCCACTGAAGAATAAAACCAAGGTTGACAAATACAAAAATGTAATTTAAAGGGAGCTGCCCCCTCTCAGACTACAGTGCGTAACTTTACCTCCATTTTGACTTTAACCAAAACTAACTTTATTCCAGGAACTCCAACCCTAAATTACGAGTACTGACTGATTTCATCAAAAATTATGAATCACGTGAGGCTCGCTCGAGGTTTTAAATGGCACGTAAATTGCACGGCATGTAAAAAGGTGCATATCCATTATTCATTTAAAATACAGAAGCAGAAATTATGTTTAGAGTTTTTTTTAAATAATCCTACATTTTACAGTGAACTCAAATTGTTGGACAGTGTCATAATATGAAGCAGAGAACATGCAGTAGTAGGTTTTTGCGGTTATGTCTCAAACAAGAAAAATTCTAACCAATACTGCTCCAGTGAAACACACAGACACACGTTCACATGCACAGACACACACACACAGACACACACACAGTCAGCCGTCGTCTGAGTCACCGCCGCATCTCCCATATGCTTCATTAATCCAAACTCACCATTACATAACTGCACTAAATGCTCACAGGAGTGGAAGGGCACAACTACCCTCCCTGTGTCTAGTGTATGTATGCATGCATGTGTGTGTGTGTACTTGGTTGTGTGTGCAAGTACAAGTAGGAGACAGTGTGACAGAGGAAGAAAATCTGGTTACATGAATGGTTGTCGAGCAGCTCAGTTTGTAATCCTTTTGTATCTGCTTGCATTTGTGGGCTGTGTGTGTGTTTGCGTGTGTGTGTTTGTTTGCATGTGTGTGTGCGCGCGCGCGCAAGAGAGAGAGTGAGACAGACACTTTTTCCCTTGAGGATGTTTTTGAGCCTCCAATTTTAATATTGTGTGTGTGTCTGTGGACATACGTTGTGTTGCAGAGGCACATTCAGGTTTTATTCTTAATAAAAAACCTATAAAGTAAATACACATACATTTACATATGTGCAAAATACACATTCAGTTTCTGAATCTTTGCTTAACACACATGCCATTCACCTAAAGTCTATCTCACACCCACACGTGACAAACCTGACAAATGCTGCTTGAGTTGGAAGTGCTGATACATGACCCGTGTTTATTTACGCATGTTTTCTGTTTGGCAGAAGAGCGTCTCCTCGCTCACGCTTTGCTCTGTGAGCCGTGGCGTCAGGCCCACTTGTAAAAGCAACCTCAGCGGCAGCTCTGGCTGTGACAAGATTAAGACCTACTCCACACCTTCTCCTCTCACCGCCACCACGCAGCGCTGCCAACAAGACGCAGCTAACAAACGAACACGCAGCCCACAGTGGCACATGAAATGCATCAGTGAAGAGAGCTGCTCTGGCTCTGGCTCCGGGGACATTGTGTACATAATGTCGGCAGCCGCTCGCAACGTGGGAATTTCAAAGAACATATGGCAGCTTGTCGCTGGGAAACAGCCCGTGACACAATCTAAACAAGCTGAGAGCTATACCTAGAAAAGCCATTAACCGTCTGTTATCTGCCACGCACACAGACACACATGTCCAAACGAGCAAGTCACACACAGACGCTGACTAAAGTGGCTGGCGTGTGATCTTGACAGGCTTGCAATGCTCAAACGGGGTCATTGACAAAGGAAGCGTTCAGTGAAGAGACAGGTGTTTGCATGTTGGGGCGAGGGAAGGAGGGAGTGATGGGTGAGGATTACCTCACTGCATCAATGGACCCAGCAGCAGCAGCAGCAGCAGCAGCAGCAGCAGCAGAGCTCCCTGATGTCTAATTATTTACAGCTATAGCGGCTCAGCTGAGGTCACAAATGCCTTGGCTAAGTCTGAGGCTCTCCAAACATGATCAGTGGAATGAATTTCAATCGTTGCAAAGGCTCGGTGGCCAGCATGGTGCAGAGGCAAAAGGTAGAAACAACACAACAGACCTATGAGGTGGTGACCTTTAACCACTGAAATCGAGTATCAGGGAGTCAAAGTGAACACTTGTGCCAAATTTAAAAGATTCTCTCAAGGCGTTCTTGAGATAACACAAGGTTAAAAAAGATTTTGCGAGGTCACAGGGACTTTCAAACCGAATTTAAAGTAAATCTGTCATGGTGTTCTCGAGATATCGTGTAGAGAAGAATGGGACGGACAGACAACCTGACTGCTCCAGTGCTGCCAGGAGTGAGCGTCTCTCTCCAGCACTGACCTCTCCCTGCTCTACAGAGAGAGAGAGAGAGAGAGAGAGAGAGATAGAGAGAGAGAGAGAGAGAGAAAGAAAGAAAGAGAGAGAGAGCATCTCTTCTCTTCTGGCTGCTTCCTCTGTCGCATGACCCACCCGTGCACCCGCCCTCCCTCCACCATCAACATCCCATCCCTCTGTTTCCATGGAAACCCCCTCACATATATTCCCATGGCACCTGCCTGCTGTCCGGGAGACACATGGAGACGTGACATAGATGAGGTGAGAGAGAAACAGGAAGGGAGACTGAGAGAGAGGAGAGAGAGAGAGTCAACGCCATTCGGCATTTTAAAAACCTGCAGGAGAGATGAGTTAAAACACAGCTGGACATTTCAGATAGTTGTATTTTGTCATTTTTATCTTGAACAAGTTGGAAACAAGTTTGCAGTCGTCATGACAGTCACGCCCCAGACTAACCAGAGAGGTCTCGACATGTGCTGCGTTCAGGTGACAGAAACTGAGCTCTGAGACAAATTTAGAAGGAGGAAGACAAGTGGACTGAAAATGTCGAAGTGTCCCATTGATGCCGGTCAATCATTACAATGTGTTGAATTAAACCTGGGGAATTATACTGCAGGCGTCCAAGCATTAGACCCACAACCTGCTGTCTCCAGAAACACACGAATACACACACTCACACACAAACAACAGAAGTTTTACGTATAAAACACATTGAAACGAACACAAAACATACACTTTGCAAAGTTGAGACACTGAAAGAAAACAGGACAGAGTGTGTGAAGTGCAAGTCTCTGAACAAGTAGGGACGTGGTTTAGCAATTGTGTATGAGATAGTATGTATTACAATTAGGGTTATAAGTAGAAAAACACGTGTAAAATTGCAAGAATAAAAATCCTGAGCAAGGGAAAATACAACATGATATTTGAGTCCCAGTTCTCGCTGCATAGTTGGACATGCGAGTTGTTAATTTCAACATCAAACAAAGATAAATACATAAAAGATCTTAAATATTTTCTGAATTTAAAAAAAGGTTTAAATTTAACTTCTCAAATTATGTTTAAGTTTATTGTGCTTATTAATCCCCAATGCTATATTTTAAGAGACGCTAATGTTGTCTCATACGTTTCAGTTTGTTTGGAAATGTATAATTTAGTATTAACAGTTTTTATAGGATAAATCCTCTGGCATCCGATAAGATGTTTCCTTGTAACCAGGTTGGGTACCACTGAATAAGAGAGTGTTTCCAGAAAGCGTTCAAAAGATGGAGGTCAGGGTTTGGGAATTAAATATTGTCCTCACAAGGGATATAAGTACAACAGAGACAAAACTGTGTTTGTGTGTTTAGTGCACAAACTCACTTTGGGCGTGGGACAGGAAGCCGTGGAGAGGCGGGAGGTGGCCTGAGCTCGGGGCGACTCCGAGGGCGTGGTGCTGAGAGAGGCTGTATCCCTGGGCAACACCTGCACACCCCGCGAGATAATGGAGTCTGGGATCTAACATCACACACACACACGCACACACATCATAACCACACATATAGCGATATTGAAGATCCAGAAAAAATTACAGTACAACACAACAAACTTCCAGCACAGACACACACTCACAAATATTCCATCATCTCTGATACATGACGTAGATGCAAATGAAACACAAATTATGACGCGGTGATGACAAATCATGATGTTGAGATTTTTGTGGGGGGGGGTGCTGAGTCTTACCAGCATCCATCTGTGATTGGACAATGAGGTGGGAGGTTACCCTGACAACAGAGCCTCAGAGCAGTTCCTGGCTGCAGACTGGGCAGGATGGGGTGATGGGTATGATGTTACATGTAAGTGGACAGAGCAGACACACACACACACACAGATGCAGGAGTGATATGTTAAACCATAGGTTTACTCTCTTTTCTACTTTTCTATCAACAGGAAGTGTCGTCTCCACATGTTTTACGGATAGAAAACGATCAGAAAACTTTTTAATCAGGGTTCATCGATATTACTTTTACACAGATTCTAACTTCTGGCAAAGATTAGACCAGAGGAACACAATCTAAAAGAAAGCTGAGTTCCCACTTAAGGTGGCTAGAGTGAGGGTTTTAAAAGTCTATATATTTGTATATAGGATATAAAGGAGCAACGAGGTCAGCCCCACGTCCGATTTCCCCCCTCTTTATTTCAGAGCGTGGTCTTTCAGTTTGAGAACAGGACTTTGCTGTTCTTGCTCCTCATTTGTTGAATTAAAACTACACAACTCATACTGTACATTTTAAGACTACAGAAATATCTCATTCATATATATATATATACATGTGTATATACTCTGTCCTGTGTACTTCCTGCTTTGGACAGTATAGTTCAGTACAGCAGGAAACAGTGACAGAGACATTTTTTCTTTATTAAGACATGGGTGGAAAAACTGTAAATTAATATTTTAAAGGTGCCACCTGTGGCTTTTTTCAAACATCACTATGTCTTGATCAAAGTAAACCTTTGTTTTAATACAAGGCGGTTTTGATACTTAAACAATAGAACCCGAATACTTCAAACCGTGATGACACATCTAATAAACACATTTATCCTCCTGTCGTACTGAGGCACAAAGAGTGAATGAACATCTAACCTATAGTGCTTCATGTTGTTAAGCATTGACAGGCACAGCAGAAACACCTGCCAGAGATCAAACAAGCAATTTAATCTTTGTATTTTATGTCTAATTGTGACACAGCCAGGATTCATGAAACACACTGTATTTCCTTTAAAGCAGCTCCCAAATCTACATTGAGCTCATCTCATTGGTCGACCTGGTCTGTAAACTGCACACAGCTAGAAGCCCTCAATGGTAACTAGGGTATACTAACACATGCTTGTACTGTATGAATGAACATGTGGAGATGATGGATGACGTCACATGTATGAAAACTCTCCTCTCCTCTAGCCCGTCCACGTACCTTGGCTGCGATGGATGCGGCGGTGATGTGGGAGGAGGAGCTGTCCTCGGTGGATGCTACGCCGCTGTCCTTCTTCTCCTCGTCCTCGTCCTCGCACTGCACACCTTTGTCCTCCGTCTGACGGCGTGGCGAACTGTTGGGCGGCGGCGAGAGGGGCGGCGGTGGCGACGGCAAGTCTTCCAGCTCATCGGCCGCCTCCTTTACCTTCACCACCGCGTCACGCAGGAGGTCGATGGCGTGCGGCAACGCCGGCAGGATGAACTGGAAGCATTCCTGGAATGGAGCATGGAAAAAGATGATTAGTAAAAAGACACAGTGGTCAGTTGCAGCCCAGAAGAAGAAACAGGCTCCTGAACCGTCTCTGATTTAACTTAAAGCAACACTATGCAAATGTTTTAACTTTAAAGCAGCAGCTTCTAAATGAGTTTGATGGTTCAGTGACTCAGAAAGTTTCCTCTCACATTCACTCCTCACCCTGAATGTCTGTTCTTCACTTAGTAACTTTGGTGAGTGGGTACGATCTCCTGTGAGAAGAGTGGGACTGACTGATAGTCGCAGCTGTAATTGTCAGAATCAGGTCCAGCTAGTTCAAGAGTAATGCTGAACTGTAGATCAATTAAAAAGACTTAGAAGTCATTAAAAACCAGCGTTTATCTCCGATATTCAGTGAGGAATCGTTAAAATATAAGGAATTCTAAACAGAGTTTGGTCTATTTGTCACAGCAGTAGCTGTATTCCTGGAAACGCGTCCTGATCCTGATCCATGCCAAAGTTTGAGAGGTTCTTCCCTGACCCATATCACATCCTTCCACCAGGTTTCATTGTGATCCATTTAATAGTTTTTGTGTAATACTGCTTGGGATCATACAAACCAGCCAAGACATAAACAGACAGGGGTAAAACATCCATGATAAAAAAGGCCAGTTAAGGAACGTTGCTCGATAATTTTTTTAAATCTTTTTTCCAAATCAGAGTTAAGCATCGGTCACAGACTTTTAATGTGAAAAATCAGTGCAAAAAAAATAAAAAATAAAAGGAAGCAACTTGTTGAGTTGTAGATTATCCTGATTTCACGGATTAAACATGGAGGAAGACACAAACTCAGATTAACAAGAAACAGCATCATGTAAATAAAACAAACAAATGCATGATATTGTACAATGAATTCAACAGTCTGCTCATTTCTGTGCAGCTATACTGGTGCATGACCCTGGTTGAGACAGCAGATTACAGCGCCTCCCTCTGGCCACATGTATACAATCCTTCTCCCTCTTCCTCCCTCCCTCCATCGGTGTTTTCCTCTGTGGTGTCTCTCTGTGTGTCAGTGTGCCTGTGGGCTCCTCGGCTATGCTAAACGCTCCATTCTCCTCGCTCCCAAGACAAGAGCTAATCTGTGAAATTATTTATCTTCCTGTGTATTTTAAGCATTGAGAGGCTGCATTATTAATCACCCCCCAACGCTTTACAGTATCTACGCTGGCTTTTTGGAGCAACCTCCCTCCTAACTCCATGTGCTTTAAAAAAAAAAAAAAAGAACGTGTGCATATCACAGGCGAGATTAAATACGGCGATGTTAACCTTGATTTGACAGAATTTCAAGCCCACTAGGATGCGCGCCTCGCTGGGATAGCATCATCCGCAGGAAAAACCCAGGAAGGAGGGCAGGAGTGCTCTTCAGATGAAAAAAGGTTGAATGGGTTAATCTCAGCAGTCAGCCACACGAGCCCGCCAGCCCTGCTGTGTAGCCGCAAGCTAACCTTTTCCCTCTCGAACCCCCATGCCACTCCGTCACACACAAACACAGCTCGAACCCCTCAGCAACACAGGAGCCTGTTTATGCCTCCTCCTCGTGTGTTTGAAGCCCACATCTGAGAGGCTTTATTTTTTAGTTTCTGAGAGATGTGAAAAGGAGGGCTGGGTGGGTCAGGCTGAAGAGCAGAGTGAGGATGGTGTCAAGAGCCTGGAGACATTCCTCCTTTCCCTTTTTGTTCTTTCATTGAGTGCTGGGCAAAATTTTTAGGTACGTCAGGAGTGCTTTTTTTCCGCTGTTCTTATTCTCCGTTTTGTCCTGCAGGAGAGTAACTGTCAAAAACACTAAAGAGCAGAATCCCTGGATCTACTGCCAGCACATGAGAAACACAAGCAAGAGAGAGGGATGGAGATGGGGGGGGGGGGCGCTGCTGTTCAGAGGGGGAGGTTTGCAGAGAGGATGACAGAAAGGAAGAAAGAGGGAGAGAGACAGGGAAGAGGAGATGGAGAGATTAAAAGGGACAAAGGTTCATTGAGAGATTGAAAAGACAATGTGGGACAGACAATAAAGAGTGAAGAGGAGAGAAGGAGAAACGAGAGAAAAGCAGAAACAAGGACAGTAGACAAAAAACTAGAATACGGCCCTGCAGTTGCAGGCCTCCACCAACCAGTCTTTAATAGAATCCTAGAGCCTGAAACAAGACTATGATCACAATCCATGTGCACAGCAGTGTAAATTTGATAAGTGATCATATATCACCAAGTGTCAACAGGTTGAAACTGCAATCAGCTGCTGTGCCTTTTCACTGTTTGTGAGAACGTATCTGTCCCAGCAGACAGAAATGTCACTGCAGTGTGCAGAAATGTCAGCACAGTGGGTAGAAATGTCTTTCCCACAGGTAAATATCAGCGCTGCAGGTGGATGAAGTCATCATCGCATGAAAAAACTGTTACCACGAAACTGAGAGATGGTGCAGCAGCACTTTTGTCGGGTGAAATTGCAGCTTGCAAAGCAGAATTAGCGCCCTGATGCCTCCACCAACCAGGGAGGTTTCAGTCCACATACTGGACATCTCTCTCCCAGACTCATATGAGGTCACTGTGACCTCCGACCACTGAAATCTAATCAGTTCATCTTTGGGTCCAACTGACAACTGGTCAAAATGTGAAGTAATTCCCTCAAGGATCATGTTCAAGAGGCCAAACACATGTTTTGTGAGGCCGCCGTCACCCTGACCTTTTAACTTGGTCTGCCAAATACCAAAATCAGTTCATCTATGAATCCAGCTGAACACTTGTACCAAATTTGAGGACTACAGATGTGGGTGGCATTATGGGAAATGTAGGATTCAGGGTCATATGAGCATGACCTTGATAAAAAGTCACAGCATCTTGTTCTTTTGTTGTTTAAAGTTTAAACCATTCATTTTTTCCTCTGAGTCCTGAAAATGGCTTAAAGTATGAGGCTGAAATCGCCGGGGAAGCGACCAGTCTAAACATGTTTGTCTTGTCAAAGCAGTCGGTAAATGTACAGGTTTTATTCATGAAAACATCTACATATTCAGAGCACATATGTTTTATTTAATGTCACGATGGAAGCATTCCCTGGAGATTTTCAAGACCGCTGCCTCTTAAATCATCTCCTCACTTTCCAATGAGGACAAAATGAAACAGGAAACACACATTAGATATTTAAGGTAAACTAAATACAAAAGAATGATCAAACTCTATCTTAAGTATAAATGAAGCTAAAGTGCAACTAAAAGATTTAACGCCGACACTCTGACGTCTTCTGGCTGGTTCCGGCGGACATCCCCCGTTATCTTTATGACAGGAGATCATCGTAATAAAAGCCTGCAGTGGGCAGCTTGTGCCGTTAACTTTAACTGGGGGTTGATGAGGGAGACACTAACATGGCAGCAGATGGGGAAGAGGTGGCATAATTGATTAAAAAGAAATACTAAAATCGATCAGGAGAGAAGCGGGTGCGTAACGAGACAGAGACAGATGTGCAGGTCAGCGCAGCAGAGAGGGAGACAGATGGAGTGGGATACAGAGACAGCACGCGCACGCACCAACATGCACACACATATACGGTATAGGCATGTTTACACTGTGCTGCCATACACAAACAAGCTCGCACACACAAAGTGAACACACCCGCACATTCACACAGAAATGACAGCATGGTACAACACATCAGGGGCTTATGGGGTTTAGTGTCTCGCTTGAGGACACATGTCAGAAATCAAACCCCCAACCCAAAGGTGTGTTTGTGTGAATCACATAACTATTTGTGTCCTTTAAACATACAATACATCACTTTGACCAGTAGGTGTCTCTCAATAAAAATAATACTAAAATCATGGGAGTTGTTATGTAAAGTTTTATTCACGTTACGCAGCAAACGCAAATGGAAGTGGAAGCAAAAAACACGAGCTAGCTAATTGGCTCAGTAAGTTTTTCCTTTGCATACGTCTTTGGAGTTAAAGCAGAGACGGACAAAGACACGTCCCGTTACCTTGAATCAGTTCGGGGATTTCTCTGGGTTTGAACATCCTTGTACATGTTTTGGATAATGTAAGTTACAAGTCAAAAAATATATCTAACATCGATCTAATTGATTTTAGACATTTTAATGAAAAATCATTACACACTTCATCTTTAAGGGGGCTTTCATGGATTTCTGATTTGAATTTCGACTCTTTTTTTTACTTGGAAAGTTCTTTGTGCTTGAAAAGTGCTGTTTAAATACATATTATAATTATGTATCCATCATTATGTCACACAAACACATTGCAGTGCAGGATCCACTTCACCGAACACCAACATCCACAGGAGGAAGCTGTTGTTACCAGCTGTTTGTAGTGTTTCCTACCTGGGAGCCTTTCTTGCTTCCTGGTAAGTTGATGATGAGCGTCTTCCCTCGGATACCACACACAGGTCTGCAACACGCAAACACACGGGGCGTTTAAAACAATGCAGCTGAGGAAAGTGTTACTGCAACAAGTTCGTTTTGTGTATTTTTTGTGTGTATTTGTCTCACTTAGGTCTCAATGTCCACGTCATCATGAAGGCCGGCAGAGATAAATCAAACTAAAATAATGTACGGGTTTTGATTGTGTTGTATGAGCGATTGTGTGACGGACCTGGAAAGCATGCCTAGTGGTGTGACATTGAGGGAACCCATCAGCATCGCCAGAGACATCCCTGGAGCCTCGCGCTCTATCACCTCTTTAGTGGCCTAGAGAGAAGAGAGAAAGAGAGAGAGAGTAGTAAAAGTCTAAAGCTTTCTTCAGGCATGACCTCCAGAGGATGTCCCCGCAATTGGATCCGAACATACTCCGGAGTTTTGTCTTTCACACATTGTTAATTTCATGAAATAAAAGTTTAAATATTATGAAATAAAAGTTTAAATATATTTCAAACATAAAATGTAGATACAGTGCAACAATGCAGCTAAACACAACAAGGAACCTTAAAATAAAGATTGTATGTATAAATACTGGTGTAGGTGGAGAAGTAAAACTGTGGACATCATGTGGATAACCAGGAAATGTAAGTACCACGGTTCCAACAACATGCCTTGACTTATAACACCAGGACAGCCCTTCAAATAATGATTAACAATTCATTTTGCACAATTCACGCCTCAAGTGACTGGAAAATCCTTATCTGACCCGTCTCCTCCCTCCTCCTCCCATTAGCAATCAAGATTGACTCAGTCTTTGTAATCAATACAGGAATATGTCTCTTTCTTGGGCAATCCGTGCAATTTAACAACCTTATGATGAATAAGTTCGTCCTGAACAGTTTGGGCTTTTATGGACGACCGCTTGCTTATTATTTTGTGCAAAAAATATGAATTTACAAGATTTTGAGATTTCATATCAAGTGGTTTACAGAGATGTTGATGTCGTTAGTTTCAGTGCTTTCGCAGAAACAGGTGCAACAAGCGTATTTCTTTGCGTGTGAGTGCATCTGTTTGATGGACTGCAGTTGACGTTGGCGCTCCTGGCGGACGCAGGGAAGACACAGCGCCTTCTCCTTCAGCTGGGTGTGTGTGTTGGGCGCCCTTGAGTTGAGTGACACTTCAAAAACGCACCATTAGCGAGGGAGAGGGGGGAGAAAAGACTTCAAAGCAGAGGAGCCGCTGATGAGCATCGTGGGTTTGGACTCAGGAGAGGAGAAGGAGGAGAGAGAGAGATAGTGAGGAGAAGGGAAAGAGTGTGGGTGGGACCAGGGAGGGGTGAGATAGAAAAAAGAGAGAAAGAGGGACCGGGAGGGAGGGAGGGAGGGGTGAGCCTGGATTTATAGCTCATCATACATCATATAAAGTCAGTGACTAGAAGAAGAGGGAGATGAGTTGGCACGCGTGAATGATGGATTGTGCAAGATGTATGATTTGGGAAATATGGTAAGGAAGAATTGGGTGAGGTTTTTTCTTTATTACATGTGTGTGTGTTTGTGTGTGTGTGTGTGGAGGCGGTGGGTGGGTGGGTGGGGGGGTGAGGGCAGGAGAAGGACTTGATGAGGTGTTGAGATGTAACAGACTCTGACCAATCATATCCCTTCCATGTAGCTCAGTGTAGATCAGTGCCTTGATTAAATGCATCCCTTGAAAGTTCCCTCTTATTTATAGAGGGGAAATTATTCTTAATCATGCGTCTTGTGCTAATCGCCAGAAATCAATGCAGTCGCATGCGGAAAGCAATTAACCGAGCGTGCAACTGGAAGCTCTGTAGCCCCTTATTGTAGGTTTAGCGTCCAATCAAAACACAGAACACGTTTGCAATGAAAGATTAGAAAGGCACTCAGTAGAGCACATACATATTAATTCACTAGACCAGATTTTTATTTGGATCAGAACCAAATTCACAAATTCATTCATAAATATCAGTCCCCTAAACATATCTTTTTAACAAGATCCATGAAGAACTCTCTGAAAAATCAATGAAAATGTTGACAAACGCTCAATCTAAAAAAACTCCTGGATCCACACGAAGGCCAGGAACAGGTCAGATAAGGATTTTTCAGCCTTCTGATCATTGAGATGTGGTTCATTCATGAATGGTTGCATTGAAAATTACAATAACATATAGCACTTACTCTAACAGAAAAACAAAAAGTGAAAGCAAAGGGATTTAGCGATTACGTTTCCACATGATATCATAAAAAAATACTTTTTCCACGAGAAGACGGACATATGGGTTTGTGTCCTGCTTTCATCTACACAGAATACAGTCGTCTGTGTCCTGAACAGACGAACAGAGGAGACAGACGGTGAGATATCACTGTCTCCAGCACACAGGGTTGGATCAGATATCAGGTGTTATCAGTGACTACAGTGTGTACGTGTCTTCCCCCTTCCAGGAAGGTTGCTGCTGTCTACCATGATTGATGAGGACCAATGATACTGCTGAGAACCACAGCTCATCCTCTGCCAAATTGCTTGTATGTGTGAGTGTGTGTGTGTGTAAGAGAGAACAAGTGCATGTAACAGAAGTGGAGCAGTGTAAATCCAAAGAGAGCTTCTTCTAATCCTTCAATCTAAAGGTATGTGAGGAGATAGGTGAAGAAAAAGACAAAACTAATATTTACACAGAGGTTTGCTTTGTGAAGCCTGCAACAACAATTAATTGGTTTAATGTAATCGTCATTTTTTAAATTTTACCTTAAAGTTTCCCTTGATATTGAAACGCGTGTGCACAACCCATTGAACATATATAAAGATGGCCGACATGACACTTTCATCTTGAACGCCCCCTGTTGGCTGGCTGCAGCTAGGTCATTAACCCTGCCTCGTCTATGTTAGTCAGTGGGACGTGAACCAAACAATTTTGGGAGTTCCTATCACACCGATGTTTGTCCGATTACGAACCTTACAGTGAGTTCATCTTTTAAAACACTCTTCAATCTGGGAGCTAAATATGAAACGCACACAAATAACCTGCAACCTGAGACCTGCCTCCCATTATCTCTGAATTGCTTGCAATGCAATCCCTTTTTTCAAAAACGTGAGTTGATAAGGATTTCACTTGTGCCTCTTTATTTCCCATGTGACCAAGGGGCTAATTACAACCTGTGTTAATCAGCGCTGCAACACACATTTGTAATCAGCAAAAACACGCTGAGGTTCTCTGAATAACGCTCAGAGAGCAACAGGAGAGATCTACCTTTCTACAGTCTTTCCCTCTCAGACACAGAGCAACTCCTACGTTTTACTTTGGCCGTCATCATATTTCTATGGCAGTGGATCAACTTCCCCTCAGGTGACCTCTCGGCAAAAACACTTCACCCCACGTTGTCCTTGTTTGTTCCTACGTAACCTGGCTATATCTAAAATCAACTTTCAAATGAAATCTTTAGAGCAAACACTTTAGTGACCTGGTTCAAAGCAAACTGACAGATGCCCCGAACATCAGGCACATAAGAGGAAAAATGACGTGTGGTGCTCAAGTTGATATTTGGTCAGTACTTTTCAAATATATAAATGCATTTGAGCTATTTTCTACAATTGGTTCTTCAGATATTGGAGCAATATAAGAAAGAAGACATTTCAAAATCCCACAGACACATTGTCACTGAGCTAGTTCATTTTCTTTCAGAAGAAAATAAAAGAAACATGTGAACCCACCTCTGGCGTGACGTCTCTCGGGGCGAAGCCTGTGCCACCGGTGGTTAGGATGAGGTTAAGTTCCTTTTCATCGCACCAGTCCACCAGAGTCTCCTGTTGGTGGACACACACACACACACACACACACACACACACACGGTTAACTGTAATTACCGACATCAGACAACAGAAATACAGACGGATACTGTCACAGAAAGATAAACAGACAGACGGATAGATTACATACCTTGATTTCATCGATCTCATCTGGCACTATCTTGTAGGCCGCGATCATGCCCCCCAACCTGAGAGAAGAAGACAGTTATTAGATCAAACATATAATCATCACGTGTTAGATCCCAGAAGGCATATTTTACAAATCCCCTCTTGGCATTTACGTATCTTTAGGGAGAACTGACCCCGTCAGAAGTCAGTGATTTCTTTAACAACCCTTGCAACCCCAGTTTAAGGACAGTCTCTCTTTTCCATCCATCCATCCATCTTTACCGCTTATCCTTTGAGGTTCGCAGGGAGGCTCGGAGCCAATCCCAGCTGACATAATAACCCCAATCTGACTTCACCCTGAAATGATGTCTTTGGACCGAAGTATCCAGAGAAACCCCCCACAGATACGAGGATTAAGCAAACTCCACACAGAAAGACCTTCAGGTTCAAACCCAGATCCCTCTTGCTGTAAGACGGCGCTAACCACTGCATCACAGTGCCGCTGGTCTCTGCATGAGAAAAGTCCAGTATCTGTTTTCTAATAGGAGGGTACGAGTGTCTGTCCTTTTGAGAAGTAGTCTACATTTTGGCAGGTTTGGAAACTGAACCATCCATCCATCCTCTTGGGTCGGGTTGCTGTGGCGGCAGGCAAACCAGGGTAATCCAGATAAATCTAGCTTATCCTGGGAGATCCAGAGGCCTTCCCAGGTCAGATGGGATTTATATCCTTCCAGTGAATTCTCATTCTGCCCTGGGGTCTCCTCCCGGTTGCACATTCCCAGAAAACCTCCAAAGCCAGCTGCCCAGGAGACATCGTGACCCACCTCAACTGGCTCCTTTTGACGCAAAGGAGCAGCGGCTCCACTCCAGGCTCCATACCAGTGTGGAGTAATGTGATGCAGCAATTTGTGGTTTTCGAAACCGCAAATAGACCTCAACTGAAGAACGTTACATAGCAGAAGGAAAGAAATCAAGCCTGGCCGAACACTATGATTGGTAGTTTTGCACCTAACAGTTTTCTGTGGAAATATGTGGAAACTTGTTCTTGATCCGGCAGGAGCACCGGCACCAAGTCCGCAAAAAAGGTGTAAAAGGGGCGTCATGTGGTTCAACAGATGAAGGTGCAGGATACTGTAGCCTAATAAAGCAACGCACACATGATCGTTAATATGTTGTTTTTGACTGAAACATCTCCCCTGACCTCAATGAGACCTATTCTTTAAAACACGTGTGTGAATTCACATTTAAGAAAATGGAGGCTTGTGAAGATCATGATGGAGAGAATAGAGTACACATGAGAGAAACACCCTATACGTATGAGAAAAGAAAGAGGACATTGAGATATTAGAATGAGAGCGAAGCAGAGGCAGGAAGGAGCGAGAGACGGCGAAATACAGCAACAAAAAAGGGAGGAGAGGGAGAATGCCCTTGAACATCCCCTCCTGAAAGGATTTTCCACAGGATGGCCCACTGAAGAGGAGGCTGCTGCTGAACAGCGAGCCACAGCTACCTCCTGTGGCCAGTCCGAGTACGACAACCCCCAAAAAAACCAACCCGAGGCTCAAGGTGAAGGCTCTGCACAGACACCCTTTATATAACCCTTTTCTTTCTTTCTTTCTTTTTTTTAAAGCAGCACTATTTTTGGGAGACCACTGCATAATGTTTCCCCTCCACGTCAGCCACTAAAATAACCTCATGAACATTAAAGCCTCTGTTCTTTATCTGCCTCTCAGATGCTTTTAAAACACACAGAGACAATAACTCTTCACGCGCCGGGTTACGGAGGCTGAATTCTGCACCCTGGAAATATCAGTTGCTAAAAATCCATCAGCCTGGCTCGGTTTTCAAACCGTGCGAGGGAGCGGCAGAGGGATGCTCTGTACGCAAGACAATACCAGAATACTGCAGCAGGCGTGCACGGAGCCTGGAACTCTGAGAGAGAGAAGCTGTCTGGTTCTGACAAAAGAGGCAGAGGAGTCAGAAAGAATCATTTAAGAAGTACTTTGTCATGAAACACTGCACATGTAGGGCTACTCGGAGCATTCACTAACTTGTGTAGCCATATACACAACATGCACACACACAGACACACACACACTCCCCTGTTGACATCCCTGTGATGGCACAAATGATTTACTTTTCTTGACGTATTTTGGAGGGAGGGAGTTTTTTTTGGCATCTCTGTATGTGTCTGTTTGTATGCGAGTGTGTATTATGTTGTATTTACGTGTTCATGCATGTGCATTCGTCCGTTTATGCGTGTGTGTGTGTGTGTGTGTGTGTGTTTGTCTGTGTAACACCTCGGGAGAGTAAAGGAGCTGTCAGGACAAATCACCTCTCTCCTTCTCCTGGGGTTTTTATGCCTCTCTGTTTCAGCCCAAATGAAAATATGCTCAACACAAATAACTAGGGTTCCTTCCCACCGTTTCCTAGGCAACCCCTCCTGTCTAAAGCCTCTAGTCGCTGTGTTGTTCATCGTGAGAAAGTGTGTGAGAGTTTGTGTGTGCCAGCGAGTGTTTGTGGGTTTTTTATTTGGTAACTACTGGGGATGCCATTTCTGTGCGGAAGGAGAAATATGTTGTTGACTTGACATTTTGTGTATAATGTGAAAAGCACATACACGCATGTTTCTGCTCGTATACGTCAATAAACTGAAAGTGTATCTGTCTGTATGTCTACAGAAAGATACATGTATGCATACTTATACAGTATATAACATCTGCATTTATATATATTTATATATGTAATTTAATTCATGTGTATGAAGGTATATAGTGAGCTCATTTGCTTGTATAAATATACAGTTAACTTAGAGTATAAGTTAAGGACACATGTTAATACAAAGTTTTACATGTGCAGCTCCACACAGGTAAATAAAGGAGTGTTGTGGTACACACTGTATGTGGTCTGTGTATGCATTTCTACATGAATGTATACTGTATGTATGAATTTTTGCTGATATATACATATATATGGGTTTTTGTGTATCATAGCCTGTAAATAAAGATGGACTACACGTCTCCACTTCCTCCCTTTGTACAAAAATGAAGCTAAAATAGTCACGATTTGAGTGTCGCCATTAAAACCAGAACATGATCACGTTCATGTTGGGACCATTAATGGCAGCACTGTTGTATTAGATGTATTAGTTGTAATTGATTACACTTACTCAACTGGCAACTGAGTGGATGTCACTGTGTGCATGAACTTTCATATTCTGTTCTTCAGTGTGTAGGTTGAACTTTACGCTCGTGATTTGTGTGTGTATATTTGTGTGTGTATATTTGCAGTACATTTACAGTTTGTGTATTTCTATAGATTTGATGTGTGCGTTGATTCATACTGTAAATGAGTATGAGTGTAACTGTGTTTGTGTCTGCATGACTGGCTTCTGTGCAAATAGAGCACTTGGCTGTATTTTGGGTGGGTGTGCTCTGAATTGAAGGAAGCCTGTTAGAGGGGAATGGGCCTGAAACATTTTAATCTCACACACCCAGCTATGTCTCTTCCTACTGTGTGTGTGTGTGAGAGTGTGTGTGTGTGTGTGTGTGTGTGTGTGTGTGTGTGTGTGTGTGTGTGTGTGAGACATATAAAGCTCTTCCTCAAACTGCAGTCTGAAGGTAGTCGGCCTGGAATAAAGGCTTTTTGCTCGAGGTGTGGACAACTGATGCGGGCAAAGGAAAATGGAAGGAATGGATGGGGGAAGGAGTGGGGCAGGGGGAGGGAGGTGAACGGAGTGTGTGTGTGTGTGTGTGTGTGTGGTGGGGGGGTGAACATAGCGGTAGTTTTGGCCTGAAAGCCGTGGCCGAATCTCTCTATGAATAAAAGACGAGCACAGAGGAGAGGATAAAAAGAGAAAGATAGAACGAGACGGAGTGAAAAGAGTGAGAAAAAGAAAGTGGGGGATAGACTGTCAGAGGCACACTTAACAAGGGGGAGGAAAAGTATGAGTGTGCATGTGAGCCAGCTGCAAATCTCAGTGGTTGTGGGACACTTCCAAGATGAGACCCATCTGCCAGGGTAATTTCATTAATAATACAAGCTCTTTGTACACAGCACTCAATCTCACTCTCTCTTTCTTCCTCTTGCCGTCTTAGACACACACTCCATCCAGAGGAGGAGACGAGAGGCTCGGCCATCGTTCGTAGTAGTGGCGTGGATACCAGCCCATTACAGCTGAGTTGTTGCATGGTCCGTATGTGGGAAAGCTCTCAAGGGGTCACCTCTCAACATGTTAACTGAAGGAAGGAGGGATGGGAAGATGGAGGAAGAGGAGAAGGAAGAGTGGACTAGCCCACCTCTTCAAACCCCTACAGCGATGTGAGCTCTGAGTGCACAGCGAGGGGTTTCACTCCCATGATTCCACTCACTAAACAACACACAGGACGCCTCGGAAACACACTTGCTATAAGATATTCTGCAGAACACTCCACCACACTAACCTTGTATTTACTTACAGGATAAATGTCATCCTGGTTCAGCTCGGCCATTGATGACAGTCTCTCCCACTTTTCATTTTCTAAACCATCCCAGCTGCAACACACACCAAACCAACTTCATCTGTTCAAACAACACAGATCAAATCTGTGGCAGGACGAGCACTGCTCATACGTGTGTGAGTTTCAACTACTTGCAACACAAACTACACCTCAGCACAGTTATGAGACTGCTTTAAATTCAATCTGTTCAGGTGTTTCTGGATAAGGGAGATTATTAAGATTGTGTGGTCACTTACATTAGCTTTAAATATTGTATGAATAGTGTCAAGAAAGTTGATCCAATTAAGATAGTTATTATAGTGTTAATTGATCAAAGCTCTAACAGTACAGGGTTGTGTGTGTGTGTGTGTGTGTGTGTGCGTCTTTTGTCCCCTGACTGTCTCCTCACTGTGAAATTGGTCCGACTGTCACCCAGCTGATTGACTTCTAGCTATTGTTAGCCATGACAATTTGTAAAATTGACAAAGGTTGTTACGACACAAGCTGCTGGAGGGCAGAGACACGGAGCTGGCTCAACAGCACCGGGGGAGAGGCTCAACCTTCAATGCACACACGCACACACACACACACACACACACACACACACACACACACACACACACACACACACACACCAAACAAACAAAAAAATATGGATCTCAGCAAAAGCACTTGCTCAGAAAAGGTAAAGGTGCAAACAAACAAAAACACACAGGCAGGTACATTTACTTGTATACACACACACACACACCTGCCTCATCTCATCTGTGTGTCCTTGTGTCTGGGTATCATTTGTTCGACCCTCCTCTGTTGCTCTTCTTTTTTGCCACATATCATTTTTCCTCTCCACCTGACACACCTCTGGATGCTCGTGAGCGTCAAACTGGGCAGACAGATTGATTGCATGTGCCAATGTGTGTGTGTGTGTGTCTGTGGGGGAGTTGCTATGATTACAGTTTACGTTGTGTGTCCTGCTGTGGCCCCGTAGTCCCTCCCCTCCTTCCTTCCCCTCTCTCTCTCTCACTCTCCCTCTGTCTCTGTCACAGCAGCAGTGGCACATTGAGGGCACAGCGTTCCAGCTGGTCAACCTGATGGAGCCGCTGACTCGTGGCGTGGATTAACATGGCATGGAGGAGCTCGGGCCAGAGGAGGTCAGTCGGGGCCCGTTCGCATCAGCCACCATCACCGGGGATGCCAACGCTCACTGCATGTCCCAGTGTCCAATTTGAATGTTTAACAGCACTGAGTTTAATCCAGACTCAACCCTATCAGTTCACTGGTGTGCGACACATCCGTCCAAAGTGTCTTTTAAGTGGGTTGAGTGGAACCCAGAGCCCCAGACTCACTGGAAGTCTATTCTTGTCTTACGGAGCCAACAAACCTCAGTCCAGCAAACACAACTGTCAACCGCCAATCGCATTTCCTTTCCTTGTTACATTAATATTAACTCCACTTCTGAAATGCTAAATTGGTGATCACTTAATTCTCACAAGAAGTAACATTAAGTCCCTGTGACTCTTGTCCCAATTCACCACTTATCTTCTTGGCTTCACTCTGACCTTGTTTGCTCCGGACAAGCTGACTTTTCAATTTAGTCTGAACCAAAAAAGCAGGTGTGAAAGAGCCCTTAAACAACGTATGCAGGTTTATACTTTAAAGGCAATGTTCAAATTGAATTGTTGTTTCAATAAGTGGCGAAACCTACATGTTATTATCTCAATAGTCAATTCAAACCAAACCTTAAATCAAGAAATAAGTGAATAAAAACTCCTCATTAATGAACGTGTCATTTTAGGAAGGTGGGTACAAAAGTTGTCAAAAACACACACAGACATAGAATAACGGATGATCACAAACAAAATGGTACAAATCAACCCCCAGCTCAATTGGACACACACACTCGCCCTCTGTGTCACACACAGCCTTCACACATACATTACACACTGGTCTAAAAATAAACAAACCATAAAGGACATGACAAGAATGGATCGGTGCAGAGTCCCACATCAGCAGGGGGGTGGTGGTGACACTCCAGTGATATTGACTGGAGTGATACGGTGACAGGGGAGCTCTGGCCAATCAATGGCTGCTGCACGGAGCCTGGCTCGGATGTGTACGGAAGCGTGCCGGATGTTTGCGCGTTGTAGTGACAGTGTGCGATGTTTCGTTCACAGGCGTTTGGAACAGCGACGTGTGATACGCTGCTATCGATGACGGACTGAAGATGGTAACTGTTCAGCGTTAACGTCATTTGATCTTAACTTATAAATCAAATCAAAATTCAACATAAAACACAACCTCTTGTCCTCGGGTGGAAGTATGATCTAGAACTGTTTTGGCACGTTAGTATCAATTCAGGGAAATGTTAATGCTACAACATCCATCCCTCCACCCATCTATCCATTCATCTATCCATCCATCATTGAAAGGCAGGGTCAACGAAGTCAAGGCTGATACATAAGCTGCGTTCGGAGGTGCACTGAACTCCACACCTTTTCCTGAATTTTTCCAGAGCAGAAAAATGTAAGAACACATTCCTGATATTGTGACCCAGACGATCTCCTGCTTCTTTCTTCATATGTTTAAGGAAAACTCAATCTTTCATGTCTAAAAACTGCGATACAAACAAGTCCACATTCACACCTATGGTCAACGTACACTCTCCAATTACCCTAACCTGCAGGTCTGTGAAGCTGGAGGACCTGGAGAAAACCCAATCAGACATTTCAACCCAGAACATTTGCTGTGAGGTGACACTGCTGTACACTTTACCACCATGTCGCCCTGCTACAACTTAAAATGATATTTCAGACCACGGTGGGTGGGGAGGGCCCTTTCCTTTATCATGGTAATGCTCCGCTGCACAAAGCCATACACGCAACAATGTTTTTTCTGAGGTTGGTGTTGACAATTCTGTTCGTAACCACGACCTTCACCTAACGGCTCACCCAGGGCATGAAGTGTTTGAGGATAAACCAGCCAGATTTTAAAATCTAAGAGAAAAACCTTCCCAGAAGACCCATGGGGTATCATAGAAGCATATCATAAATCTACCTGCATTGTGGAATGAGATGTTAAACAGTCACATGAAGGTGTGCTATCGTAGTGTCCACATAATTGAACTTTTATGCTTTAATGGAAAGCTTGTTCATTTTATTACCTTCAGAGTGCTTGTGAAATTTTTAGTCGAATTATGTTTTTTGCTCAACTCCAGGGATTGTGCGAGATCCTTTGTGAAGCGACTGAAAAGCTGCACAAACAATGGTTTAACGTGTCTGTTTTGACAAACACTTGTTGTGATGATGATTATTGTTTCCCTGCACGTTTCTGTCACTGATCACATCCCTGTTAATAAAAACAATGGTTGATTTCACCTCCTTTTTTTTCCTTGAGCAAATAATGACTTCTTGCAGCCACAGAGAGTCGTCCTTAAACAGAAGAGCGCTGCAGCTCTTTTGTTGTTGCCATGCATGCTGGGAATTTCTCTCCACAGGGCGACACCGAGCCCCGACATGTTGTGTTGAAGAGATATTTTTAGTTTCTTAGTTACGCTCTAGCATAAAAAAAATGGAAAAAAAACCTGACGACGACGGCTTCCACACAGAGACGCACACATGCAGAGAACCTGTGCATCTTTTTTGTATGGTAGATTTAACATAGGTCTATTAAACACAGTGTTTCCACAGGCTTTGCATTTCAGTCTGTAGATGGAATTATTGTGTAAGAGGCCCATACTCACAGGGAGGGATCGTGTACAAGATCTTTGAGGTTGACGCCACTGCGGTCCTCTGCAAGGTTTCGAAAACAGCTGTCACTCACTGGATAGACACAGAGAGAGAAAGAGAGAAAGAGAAAATACAAAATCATTAGTGATATGAAAAAATTCAAAACACGAGGGGTTTCAGCACAAAATCATATTGTTACATCACAGGTGTTTACCGAAAGATGAGAGAAACTGACATCATTCATCTTCCAAAAAATGTGTTTAATCTCGAGCCATCTCACTTTGTAAAACCAAGAAACACTGATTTATTGTTTTGTAAAAATGGTGTAATGGTTTAGCCACATGTGGTTACTGATGACGTAACACAGAAAAAATTATCCTCGTTGGAAGCAATGATGAAAACTGCAGGAACAACAGCCAAGAAGCTCCACTCCAGACACATCCCTGAATGGATCCGTGCTGCTCTGGGAAAACGTCTCAATTCATTCTTACATTTTGGTCCAGATTTCACACATGTAACGTGACAGGAAAAACAGACAAACAGCATCTTGTGGAGATGGGCCGATATGGATTTTTGGGACCGATGTTGATACAGATGTTAGTGAGTAAAAAATGTTCTATCTATCTATCTCGTAACTTTTTACAGATAACATGAGATCAATTAAGAGAAAAAAGAGTATATAAACGCAGATTCTTTCTGTATTGTTTATCATGTAAGTAAAACTTTTCATACCTGCAAACATAAATGCAGATATGTTTGTGAAAGGCTCATTTCTATTTGACCGATTTTTTGAATCAGACTCAAGCATCTTGGGCAAACAGGGATTCACTGTGTCGTACTAACGTAGATTAAGATGCTCTCGTTTGTTTTTCAGCTTCACTTGTCAGTTTCAGTCTTTATAAGGGTGGTGCACCCCAGAATGAAAACTCTGTGTGGAGTAACGGTGAGAGTGTATTCACTTTTCCACATCATGTTGCAAATGAAATACAGCCACTATTCCAATAAACCAAACTCTGAAATCCTCCCGCCACCCTCGCTGTGCACGAGGCCACACCTTCATCATCTCCAGCCTCTTGTCATAAAACCACGTACGTCGGCCCCTCGACTGCAGAGCAGGTGCGAGCCACATGAGTCATCAACGCGATCACAGATGGATAGAGTGACGAATGGAGTGAGACAGGGAGGAAGACAAAGACGTGGGGAGAGCAAAGTAGAAAGAAAGAAAAAAACAAAGTGAGAGACAAAGTGAGAGGAGACAGAAAGAGACGGAGAAGGAGGATGAAGAGAGGGACGAGGTGTTTTGGGGTCTGACGGAGGCAAAACGTGAGCGGACACGCTCAAGCAAAACGATACACCGGAGGGGCAGATGATGATGATGATGATGATGATGATGATGATGATGATGATGATGGTGGTTGTTGATTTAATATTTAAAAAAAACTTAGCTAGTTGTAGATAAGAGTGAAAATGTCATGGCGTTACTCCAATGAAGTGCTATGATCCATGAACAGGAGGAGGGGCGGAGGGACGGGATGAAGAGATGGGCGAAGCAAGAGTGGTGTAGAAAATGGAAGATTGGTGGCGGGGGGGCAGAGTGGCAGGGCTGAAGACAGGGATGGGGCAGAGTGGCAGGATGAGAGTGAGGAGAAGAGGGGATTAAAAGGATGCAGGATGGACAGAAGGATGGAGAGAAAGAGAGGGGAAGAGTGATGAAGAGAAAAGCGGCACCGTTGGGGCAACGCTGAGGAGACAAGAGGTAAACAGAGGGTGCAGGACGTTGCTCGGGGCTCTGGCAAATAAATGGGAGAGTGCTGACATTTGCACACCGAGCCAGAGAGAGAGACAGAGAGAGAGTGGGGGAGAAACAAGAGAGACGTAAGCGGGAGGAGGAGGAGGGGGGAGAGGAGATGTAGTGAGAAAAAAGGCGGAGGGAGGAGAGGAAAAGGGGAGCAAGCACATGGAATACACACCACCCTGGCTTCAGAGGGGCACTGCTGCAAAAGTGCATGTGTGTGTGTGTTTGTGTGTGAAGAGGGAACTTCCTTCAAGACTGCAGTATTCCTTACTAACACACACACACGCACA